GTATTTCTATTTTGTGACAATACTGCTTCAATTCCTTTGGTCGGTCTTAACAGGTGGTAGTTTGAAGGTGTCAAATGATACTGAAAGGATGTCCTTACCATGTATTGAGTTGCGCAGTTCTTGACAAAGAGGTGGCTGCCGGCTGCAACAACTAATTATGCGCGACACAGATGCAATCATATAAACATGTTTTCGTTACATATGGCGTCATATATTCGGTATATTGATGGCTGTTTTCACATCGTGTGTCTTTGACAATCAGAATTTGGCATTCAGGCACTTTTGATTGAGGTTACGTTGGTTATTGAGAGGTAAAAGGGCTTCACTTTAACGGACCAGTTATCCTTAATGTGACATTTTGTAACATTACAAAGTGATATTTAGGTAGATATAATAATAATCCATGGATTTAAACACAATTCAAAATACGTGTGTCAGGTTTAAGTTGCTTTTGAGAGCCCGGGACAAGTCGGACAGAACACTTGTGAGAATATAGAAAAGAGGACTTCACTTTGAGCAACGTGTTTGCTTCACATACTACGCAATGAGACTCTATGAAGTGGTATTTAGGAAGATATAAAACCATTTTGCCTCTCATGTGTAACTCTAGTAAATTAACAAAACTGTTAGAGCGTTATCCTAAGTTCAAACATTTGCCCACTGACATTCGCCAATATCCACTTCGCATTAACATAAACATCATGTGCTGATTCAGCCTGAGACAATAAAGGTTAATTCGGGAGCCCCAATCTGTTAATTAAGGAAAGAAATGAAGTCAAAACACTGTCACTTCCTTCCCAGGACGTCACACGTCACACGTCAAGAAAAGTAAGTAAATACTATCAAGAAAAACACATAACAAGACGGTATCTTTTCTATGGGACTCTCGGTATGTAATCATAGTTTTCTTTTTATTTCATCGTTAAATATACATTTTCAATCAAACTGTACATTTGTGAAGGCAGGAAGTGTATCTACCGACATGTGTAGGTTTCGTTTTAATATTCTGCAATCCATTTTAGTAGTCCCTTGCGGCCCGGCCCGACTTTTCTTGGTCCGGGTTTTAGGCACTCCCCAAGAAACTGTATCGAAATACCGCATCAGCTAAATAAAGAAATTATTCATCCATAAAGTCTGTCTTATATGCATCGTGTGTATGGCCAGCAGCAGAATAACAATAACAACAACAGCAACAGATATTTGAGAACAAGTTGCACAAGTTTGGTGAGGCCAGCCGGAAAGTAAGATCAACAAATAGCATAATTCTGCTTGAGAATGTTTAGTTTGTGAATGACCAATCTTTTGAAGTTGAGTTAAGTTCTCATTTAGTAAACTGTTATCTTCCAAATAGATATCATATTCAAAAGGTTTATCAAGATTTATTGTACACCTCCTTAGGTTACTTAGAAATGCGTAATGTCTACATATTAGATATACATGTACCTTACCAAGTTCAAGTTTCTGGCCATAATTAAATAATGTAGTTCCAGTTTATTGTGAAGTGCAAAATCATGTTCGTTCTTCACATACTTCAAGTGTTCCAGGGGCGGTGGGGTAGCCTAATGGTTAAAGCGTTGGCTCGTCACGCCGAAGATCCGGGTTCGAATCCCCACATGGGCACAATGTGTGAAGCCCATTTCTGGTGTCCCCCGCCGTGGTAATAAGTGCTGGAATATTGCTAAAAGTGGCGTAAAACCAAACTCAGTCAGTCAGTCAGTCAGTCAGTCAGTCAGTCAGTCTGTCAGTCAGTCTGTCAGTCAGTCTGTCAGTCAGTCAGTCAGTCAGTCAGTCAGTCAGTCAGTCAGTCTGTCAGTCAGTCAGTCAGTCAGTCAGTCAGTCAGTCAGTCAGTCAGTCAGTCAGTCAGTCAGTCAGTCAGTCAGTCAGTCAGTCAGTCAGTCAGTCAGTCAGTCAGTCTGTCAGTCAGTCAGTCAGTCTGTCAGTCAGTCAGTCAGTCTGTCAGTCAGTCTGTCAGTCTGTCAGTCAGTCTGTCAGTCAAGCGTTCCAACCGTATAGTCATTATGTTTACAAACAACTTTCTGTTTAGATGTTATATATGAGTATATAGAACGTGGGTTCAGTTCTAATGGAATGACTGCATACTGTTCACTCGGATTGGTATTAGAGAGATGCTTGTGCATTCGTAATAGTAATTCTAGGGAGTTTCTCCACCACCACCCCCCACCCCCCACCTCAACTGATGGAACATTTGTGCAGATTTTCGATTTATTACATCAGAAGTTCAAGAATAACATGAGGGGCCATTGTCAGTAAACATTGTCGGATGACAGGCTTCAACTGTTTTACTAGATCATATGTCGAGGCCACGAGATAATAAGTCGAGGCCAAGATATAATAAGTCGAGGCCAAGAGATGATAAGTCGAGGCCACGAGGAAATAAGTCGAGGCCAAGAGATGATAAGTCGAGGCCAAGATATAATAAGTTGAGGCCAAGAGATAGTAAGTCGAGGCCAAGATATAATAAGTCGAGGCCAAGAGATGATAAGTCGAGGCCACGAGGAAATAAGTCGAGGCCAAGAGATGATAAGTCGAGGCCACGAGGAAATAAGTCGAGGCCAAGAGATGATAAGTCGAGGCCAAGATATAATAAGTTGAGGCCAAGAGATAGTAAGTCGAGGCCAAGATATAATAAGTCGAGGCCAAGAGATGATAAGTCGAGGCCAAGATATAATAAGTCGAGGCCAAGAGATGATAAGTCGAGGCCAAGATATAATAAGTCGAGGCCAAGAGATGATAAGTCGAGGCCAAGATATAATAAGTCGAGGCCAAGAGATGATAAGTCGAGGCCACGAGGAAATAAGTCGAGGCCAAGAGATGATAAGTCGAGGCCAAGATATAATAAGTCGAGGCCAAGAGATGATAAGTCGAGGCCAAGATATAATAAGTCGAGGCCAAGAGATGATAAGTCGAGGCCAAGATATAATAAGTCGAGGCCAAGAGATAGTAAGTCGAGGCCAAGATATAATAAGTCGAGGCCAAGAGATGATAAGTCGAGGCCAAGAGATGATAAGTCGAGGCCACGAGGAAATAAGTCGAGGCCAAGAGATGATAAGTCGAGGCCAAGATATAATAAGTCGAGGCCAAGAGATAATAAGTCGAGGCCAAGATATAATTAGTCGAGGCCAAGAGATGATAAGTCGAGGCCAAGAGATGATAAGTCGAGGCCAAGGGGAAATAAGTCGAGGCCAAGAGATGATAAGTCGAGGCCAAGAGATGATAAGTCGAGGCCAAGATATAATAAGTCGAGGCCACGAGGAAATAAGTCGAGGCCAAGAGACGATAAGTCGAGGCCAAGATATAATAAGTCGAGGCCAAGAGATAATAAGTCGAGGCCAAGAGATAATAAGTCGAGGCCAAGAGATGATAAGTCGAGGCCAAGAGATGATAAGTCGAGGCCAAGAGATGATAAGTCGAGGCCAAGAGATGATAAGTCGAGGCCAAGAGATGATAAGTCGAGGCCAAGAGATAATAAGTCGAGGCCAAGAGATAATAAGGCGAGGCCACGAGATAATAAGTCGATGGCGCTAGGCATTAAGGCGAGGCAACGAGATAATAAGTCGAGACCACGAGATAATAAGTTGATGGCGCTAGGCATTAAGGCGAGGCCACGAGATAATAAGTCGAGACCACCAGACAATAAGTCGAGGCCAAGAGATGATAAGTCGAGGCCAAGAGATGATAAGTCGAGGCCAAGAGATGATAAGCCGAGGCTACAAGATAATAAGTCGAGGCCAAGAGATAATATGTCGAGGCCATGAGATAATAAGGCCAGGCCACAAGATAATATGTCGAGGCCACGAGATAATAAGGCGTGGGGTTACAGGCCGGGAAAGCCACAAGAGCTTCAAGAGCTTTGCATTCATTCGTAAAGTAACAGTTGGGTCCCGCTGCACAAAGCTATGGTAGGTCATCATCACGCCCATACTTAGGCAGATTTACGGCATGCATAGCGCTAAGATCGCTTTGTGTAATCGGGGGCGATCGCTAATTGTACCTTACTTTTCCCAGCTGTATGCAAACAGAACTTCCAGGTCGACCAACTATACTTTTTATCACAAACCCCCAAACACGAAAACAAAACAACAAAACAAAACATTAAAAATAAAGAAAATTAATGCTGTTATGACATTCAGATATTGCATTAATAAAATCCCTTAAAACAAGTTTGTAGTATAAAAAGTCAATAAATTGAAACATATCTAAACCCTAGCGTTCGCTCGTCACGCCGAGGACCCGGGTTCAATTCCCCACATGGGTACAGTTTGTGAAGCCCATTTCTGGTGTCCTCCGCCGTGATATTGCTGGAATATTGCTAAAAGCGGCGTAAAACTAATTAACTCACTCACCTGGTTTGATGAAATCAACATTTCTGTAACTCGACTTGTAGTAAAATATAACCAAATGTCCAAAGAATTATTTATATTGGCTGTTATCTGTTATATAAAAAACAATATTTGAGCACCTGTTTACGCTAAATAAAATAATTAATGTTTTCATGCTCTTGTCAAACTAAAAGTTCAGAGGTCAGCAGTTAAGATCTATCCTGTCTAAAACTGACCCAGCATTGCGCCAGTGCAAAGAAATAATTATGTGAAATTCTTTCTTACAGCGCTAAGTATCAGAAAGTATATTACTGTGTTTCTCGGACTGTGGAAATATATATATAGCCCATCAGTATACATTTATGTATGTGTTCTACATACATAGTAGTAGATGTTGACATTGTATGGTCTACAAACAAGATAACGGGCGAAAATATAATTTACTTGTAAATGTCGCCAATACGAACTGACATTGTTCTTTCCTTTTGTTCTGGTGCACGATTTGTATCGATGTACCTGCGGCATTTCTTCTGCGATTATGAAAACAATTACCGATGTGCCTGCGAGCTGTTAATAAATACAATGCAACGTGTCAGTGCCTGTGGTGTTATTCGCCATATCGCATCGTCTGCTAAGCGTGTTAGAGTTATCCGCCCTTGATAGACAACACAGCAACATTCCTTCAAAGTTGTCATTTCAGCTTTGGAATTGACAGCGCGCGATACAGGATGAGAGTCGTACGGTTTAGAAAGTTTAAAATTAAGCATGTACTGTTTTTGGCATTATTTTGCGTGAGTGCAGCGATTCTGTACATAAACTTCATCGGACAATGGCTGTCTTCTGAGAAGGTGCCAAGCCATGTTCTGTTTATGAGAAACAAGCGGTTCGATGCTTATCAAGCCAGTGAGCCACTTCGGACAGGTCCCGGAGAAAAAGGACTACCGGTGCATTTAGAAGGAGAAGAAAAACTTTTAGGAGAAAAACTTATGCATAAAGAAGCTTTTAATATAGTTGCAAGTGAAAAAATATCGCTGGAGAGGTCGGTAAAGGATGTCCGTGATCACAGGTAAGATCGATAAACTGAATTATTGATTTTATTGGCTTGACGTGATCAATTTGTAACTTCATGACTTGGGTCAACGTGAGGTATTTGGACCGAGCGACAAGAGTTTATTATTCGGGGGCCGCCCTTTCCGAGCGTTCAGCTACTTGAAGTTACAGTAGCACATTGTCTTAGCCGTCTGCGTGCTATAAATAGATCAGGTCAACTCACCTCGCCCACTCTGCTCAGGAAATTAAAAAAGTTTATTTTTATCAGCTGGTATCTGTTTATTGGATACGGATACAGTCAATGTGTGTCGAAGGTTGATGTGTTTTCTATTGGTTGTCTAAGTAAAAGCTGGGTCTCAGAGTATTATTATAGTCATCATATTTAGGGACCGTTCATAATTTATGGCTGGGGATGTGCGGGTGGGGGTGGGGTGGGGGCAGAGGGAGATACGGGGATTGCTTATAAGGGGCGTCACCCATTTTGTTCTGGGGAGGTAGGGGGTGTCATCAATTTGTACACATGTAGGGGGGGAGTCAACAATTTTGTACATAAAAATATTTAAATAATTGTGCTTAAATGTTATGGAAAGAGGTTAGGGAGGGTCATTGATTTTGTAGGTGATATGTGTGTGGGGGGTGTACATAAATTTTAGGAGGGGAGTCATTCACATTGTACATGGTTTGCCACAAAATTCATCATCGATTAATGAGATCGGGTGGCCAGATTTGCTGACTTGGTTGACACATGTCATCGTATCCCAATTGCGTAGATCGATGCTCATGCACTTGATCACTGGATTGTCTGGTCCAGACTGGATTATTTACAATTGCAAACCACCGTCATATAGCTGAAATGTTGCTGAATGCGGCGTAAAACTAAACTCACTCACTAGATTTGGCCTTCAGAAATCCATTGCTTGTCGTAAGAGACGACTAACCAGATTGGGTGGTCAGGTTTGCTGACTTGGTTGACACATGTCACTGTATGTCAAAGATCGATGCTCATGTCATGCATTGTTAATCTTAATATCAATCACTTGTTTTTCTAGTCCACAATGGAATATTTACAGATGGCCATTGTGAAGTTAGAACATTACTGAGCGTGGTTTTAAACAACAAACTCACAATATATTGTTTTTTATCTTTTTATGACATGAAACTAAGACATGCAAAACAGTTGTAAAATAAGTCAGTCATTATACCTGGTCGCTCATAAGACCTGGTTCACGTCTTAATAAAAAAAATAAAAAACTTGAACTTTCATAATAGGCCAAATCCATGCCAGTCAATTGATCAGTGCATGCTCCAGTTTCATTCTCAGCTCCCTGGGAGTCATACAACCCGAGCCACTTGTGGGACATTGGTATGGCTGGGTTGTTCTCCCAGTCATGCTGAATGGAACCAGTAATATTTATTTGCATCATTATTTAATCATTGATGATTTTGCTTCCAGGTGTAAAGATATAATCTATCCTAAGAATCTTCCAAGTGCAAGTGTTGTGATAATCTACCACAACGAAGCATGGACGCCGTTACTGAGGACGGTGTACAGTGTGATTAACCGATCTCCGCCCGAGTATCTACATGAAGTTGTTTTACTAGATGATTTCAGTGACCGACGTAAGTAACCATGGTCATCAATTTCTTAGACTGCCAGACACCTGTATAAACTGACGTAAAAAAGAAAGTACATACCTAGAGTTTAGGGATTATGTTAGAATAAAGCCATCAGGATGAGAAAATTGTGCACTCATATGCTAAAAATATGAACAATATTCCTCATTACGTAATACAGGGCAGGGGGTTGCTGCCCTGATTCTGATCAGACTTGAAACATGGGATCCATGGCAGCCATTTTGAATATTGATGGTCCTTCTGCCAATACCCAGTGTAGGAAAGATAGCCCGTCCCAACGTCCGAGACGGGTGAATTTTGTGGAGGACGGGCTAAAAAAATATCTAGTCCGTCCTCATGTCTGGTCAATTTTAGCAAACCAATGACATATATATAATGATTATAACCTTTTTGAATATTTTCTACCGAAGGTGTTTTATTTATATTTGGAGGACAGGCTAGATTTTGGCAGGACTGGTAAAAAATTTGACCTGCCAGTCCTGTGGACACGCTAGATTTTCTACATCTTTCCTACACTGCCATACCGCACCAAATTCACATATATTTATCATAAAATGAATGCGGGAAGCAAGGGGAAGTATGCGGATCAACTTATCATTCATATGTTGATGTATTTTTACATTTGACCCTTATTTGGCTTTTTGACATGTGTGACCTGCCCATACTTCATTCACCAAATGGAGAGTGGATTTGAAATATGTCTGACACCTTGGTGTTTATGAAGCTGAAAGTTTTGTATATTATCCTGACCTTCACGTAATCTTTGCCATACACAGGGCCATGTATTCATGTTACAAAGTGAAATATGGTGGTAGGGTACCCCAGTGGTTAAAGTGTTCGCTCGTCACGCCTGCCCAGGGTCGATTCCTCACATGGGTACAGTGTGTGAAGCCTAGTGGTGGTCCGATTAATTGAAATATTCGAAGATTGGTCATAGTGACTTAACGACCAAGCAATCGATCATAATTTCTCATAATCGAACACAAACAATTCTGGAACACTTGTTTTCATTAGCAATATTTTTCACATGGTTGGTTTTGTCTGTTACATTTCGTAAGCACTACAAACTCATTTCAAGTCATGATTGAATTTATCTTAAAGACCCCAATAAATTTATGTTCCTAACATACTAGTCATCCTTTAAAGATGTGAAATTTTGCCAAAAAACTCCAGAAGAACTACATTTTTTCCCCCTTATTTTAATGTGCATTAACAAATTTCATAAATGACGCTAACCAATTATTTTCGATGATTGATCGGTAGTAATGAACCAATCATCAATTATGAGATTTTAACCAATTCCCAACACTAGTGAAGCCCATTTCTGATGTACCCTGATATTGCTGGAATATTGCTAAAAGCTGCATAAAACCCAACTCACATACTCACTCACTCATGATGAAATCTAATAAGCCAGTAGTGAGATGGTAAATGTATTTTGTGAAGGAACCTCTTGTTCACCTCTTGGACAACTTTTTGATGTAATATTCTAGAAATCTTAGGTGAGCTGCAGAACACCTTGCTGTGGATAGTTACTGGATTTCATGGACTTATCTGAAGTGTTTTAAGCAGTGTTCACGAATAGCATCTGACCCTCTGACAAATCCGGCAGATTCACCAACGGTCCGATAGAAGTCTACAACCCACCGGCCCTAGTGTCTGACTGTATATTTCACAATGACTTTGACTGAAGTTGTTATATGTGACATGTGACACTTGTTTGCTGTTTATAAATCTTATGTTTGTTAATAATTTCAATATCAATTATAAGAAATATTAAATCTGAAATGTGTGTTTAATTTTATTCCATGGGTCCTGTGCATTTTCAATGGGTCAGACAGACATCTGAAACTTACAGGACCCAATGTCCTGTGACTTTGAAACACCATATGTGATCACTGGTTTTAAGTTGGAGGGTCTGGGTTTTTTGATCTGTTGAACATGATGATGTTTGTGGCACTAGTAAGTGAAACAAATGATTCTGTATACCTTTGATGTTTCATATTTAGGTTATGACAAAGAATCTTCGACTTTTACCTTTCATTTTCATGAAATGTACTTTGACACTATCTTATTAGTGGTATGCTAATGGAAGAGTTATCTCCCTGATAAGGGCACTTGATGGAGGGCCTGTCATGTGACAATGTGTGCATGGGCAGGTTGAATACATTTCCCTCACCACTAGTGGCACATTATCCTTTCAGGTGCTGTAGTGTATTACATGACCCACCATTAATGCAGTTAAATAATCAGTCACTTAATGCCAGCTTACCAGACCATAAACTCTTTTTAAGATCTTTCAGTTTAGTGAAATATTTTTCAAACATCAGGCGACTTTTCAGACAAACTAATTTCTCATGTCGTTTTCTCTTCTGCCCATTAGATTCAGTCTTTGAAGTTTGTTTACAAATCATCTGAGACTTCTTTGAAACACTATTTTTAATGTTCTTTGATGATTTGTATAAAAAATTTCAACTGCCCCAAATCTGTTGTAAATGTCAGTGCATATTTCTAAATAGGAATTCAGCATTCATAATGTTTTAGTTTAACTGAAGTCATTGAAGTTATAGATAACTTGTATTTTATTCAGAGCATTTTAGAGGAAGAGTCTTTAATGTTTAGGGCAATGGGGTAGCCTCGTGGTTAAAGCGTTTCCTAGTCATGCCAAAGAGCCAGGTTTCAGTTCCCCACATGGGTACAATGTGTGAAGCCCATTTCTGGTGTCCCCTGCCGTGATAGTGCTGGAATATTGCTAAAAGTGGCATAAAACTAGACTTACTTTGATGTTTAATTTCACATCATGGCATTTTATTCAGAATGAAAATACAACGCTGAAATCCCTCTACCTTTATATAGATTAGAAATCTCAATATAAAATGTAATAATATTTTGCAAAGATCTCGAGTAATTCAAGTTAAATCTGTGCTCATAGTAACATGCAGTCCCACATTTGGATAGTTGAGAAATCTCAATATTGAAGAAAAAATGAGTTAGCCTAGGTCTCAAGGAATACAAGTTAAATCTTTGTTCTCATCAACATGCAGTCCTCTACACTTCTCACTTGAGACCTCTGCATTCATAAACATCTCTTTGAATTCATGGGATACTTGAGACTCACTTGCCAGCAGGCTATTGTGCTAATACCTGTCTTGTTGAAACCAGAAGTATCTTTATGGTTAGCAACATGGGGGAGGATTGTTAATGGCTGGACTTGATGTGACTTAACTACATGGCAAGGACAATTGAAGCCTATGCTCATTGTGATATGACGTAACTACATGGCAAGGATATTAATTGAAGCCTATGCTCATTGTGATTAGCGGTGTAACGATTCATTGATAGTATCGATGTTTGCATCGTCAACTACGCGATACGAGTGCATCGATACAAAACACATTTAGGCAATATATCAGGATATTTATATCGCGAGGGTCCACGATACATCGATGTATTGCCACAAGAGACGATATATCCCGATACAACTTCAATACTAGTTAAAGTTGTAAGGAGTATTGCATTAGGAATAGGAAGGGAGTCTCTTTGAAATTCTTCTGAATTTTAAAAACAAATTGAACCTTTTAGGAATTTGTTTGTGTCTGTTATCTTTGTTACATGGACAAACGAGTTGGTGTATAAGTGAAAGAGTGTGAACATTTTTCAAACTCTGTGAACTGTAGAATACTTGTCTTTAGTAATTGAAATATGTTTTAGTTGTTTGACAAATACCACCATTTATTAACATACACGAACGATGTCTTAGCTTTGTTAAGAAAGATAACAAAGAGAAGATAAAATTTAGAAAGAATATCTAAGAGTTTTTTTCAGTGATTCTGAATTCTGATATAAATTACATTCAATTGTTTGTTAAAGCATCGGTGCAGAAACACACCTTCCGGAAGGAAACTTCAGTTTCAAACTTATATATGTTAGATCAAAGTATACTGAATGTGTTTGACTTTACTTTAAAAGCATTAAATGCTGAAACTTTATTAAATGAACAGCTTTTTAAGTGTGTGTGAATGTAACACAAGTTCAGCTGTATAACAAATAAAGTTTCAGTCATTTTATCTATCATATATGTTCTGCTATTAGAAATTGTAAAGTATCGGGATACGTATCGTATCGCCACCATTTATCGTGATGATAATCGTCTCGCAGGTTCCTTGCCAATACTTTCATGATATATCATCTCGCCTAACTAAACTGGTATCGGGATATATCGTCTCGCCACTTAGACCACGATAAACAGCTCTAATTGTGATATGACTTAACTACATGGCAAGGATATTAATTGAAGCCTATGCTCATTGTGATATGACTTAACTACATGGCAAGGATATTAATTGAAGCCTATGCTCATTGTGATATGTCTTCACTACATGGCAAGGATAATTGAAGCCGATGCTCATTGTGATATGACTTAACCACATGGCAAGGATATTAATTGAAGCCTACGCTCATTGTGATATGACTTAACTACATGGCAAGGATAGTAATTGAAGCCTTTGCTCATTGTGATATGACTTAACCACATGGCAAGGATATTTAATGTGAAGCATGGCAAGGATATTAATTGAAGCCTACGCTCATTGTGATATGACTTAACTACATGGCAAGGATATTAATTGAAGCCTTTGCTCATTGTGATATGACTTAACTACATGGCAAGGATATTAATTGAAGCCTTTGCTCATTGTGATATGACTTAACTACATGGCAAGGATAATTGAAGCCGATGCTCATTGTGATATGACTTAACTACATGGCAAGGATATTAATTGAAGCCGATGCTCATTGTGATATGTCTTCACTACATGGCAAGGATATTAATTGAAGCCGATGCTCATTGTGATATGTTTTCACTACAGGGCAAGGATATTAATTGAAGCCTATGCTCATTGTGATATGACTTAACCACATGGCAAGGATATTAATTGAAGCCTACGCTCATTGTGATATGTCTTCACTACATGGCAAGGATATTA